AATATGGTACTATGGTATTAATATGGTACTATGGTATTAATATGGTACTATGGTATTAATATGGTAGTATGGTATTAATATGGTACTATGGTATTAATATGGTAGTATGGTATTAATATGGTAGTATGGTATTAATATGGTACTATGGTATTAATATGGTACTATGGTATTAATATGGTAGCATGGTATTAATATGGTACTATGGTATTAATATGGTAGTATGGTATTAATATGGTACTATGGTATTAATATGGTACTATGGTATTAATATGGTAGTATGGTATTAATATGGTAGTATGGTATTAATATGGTAGCATGGTATTAATATGGTACTATGGTATTAATATGGTACTATGGTATTAATATGGTACTATGGTATTAATATGGTACTATGGTATCAATATGGTAGCATGGTATTAATATGGTAGCATGGTATTATAGACCATGGGGTATACTGCCTGAGAACAGCGGCCCTTAGTGGGACGTGAGAGCCAGGACCCTGTCATTAACCAACGAAAAGGGTACAGCCAAGACCACAGATAACAGTGTTCATTACCATGGTAATAAGGTATCACAATATGGCATTACCGTTCATATGGCAATATGTATTAATAAATCTATTAATATAGTAATACGGTCATTACTGAAGATAACTCATGTCAGTCAATCTTCCTTTTTTTCTTTTTAAAAAATTTTTCTATTATTTTTAAATTAAAAAATTCATAATAAAGGCCAGGCGCAGTGGCTCACACCTGTAACCCCAGCACTTTGGGAGGCCAAGAGACGGGGAGATCATGAGGTCAGGAGTTCAAGACCAGCCTGGCCAACATGGTGACACCCTGTCTCTACTAAAGATACAAAAAATGAGCTGGGCATGGTGGTGCACGCCTGCGGTCCCAGCTACTCGGGAGGCTGAGGTAGGAGAATCACTTGAACCCAGGAGGTGGAGGTTGCAGTGAGCCGAGATCGAGCCATTGCACTCCAGCCTGGGTGATAGGACAAGACTCCAACTCCAAAAAAAAAAAAAAAAGAAAATTCATAATAGAGACAGTCTCACCACATTGCCCAGGCTGATCTTGAACTTCTGGGCTCAAGCGATCCTCCTGCCTCACAGCCTCCCAAAGTGCTTTGGATTACAGGTTTGAGCTACCGCACATGGCCTCCTCCTTTTTTTTCCTAATGGTAAAATGTGCCTTCCTTGAACCTGCTGTCCGTGTAATCAGTACTAGCCAAAAATAGCTTTTGGAGTCTGATGTTAAGAATGAAATCATTTTGTTTAGCAAAATGAATACATTAGCAAAAGCGATTCTAAGAAATATAGAGGAAATGTTCCTTTTCCGTCAGCAACTAGGGGGACAGAGACATTGTTCTGCATAAGAAAATCAAATTTAACGACTCTAATCTGAGAAGATGCCAATTTTGAGAACATTAGCAAGAGGCTGAATCTTGTGTTCCATGGGATAAGGGAGATACACGGGCGATACTGTCATCTAATTCTTTTTCTATCTTGGAAATGTTACTCATACAGTCCATATTTGTTACTGGCACAAATAATCTTGCTAATGTTACACAGAAAGTCTGTATCTGCAAGGCACCCAGTGGTTAATTGTTCACCAGTCATTACTGTGATGTCCCAGGAAGGAAACATTACAATTCTATAACCTAATTCTAAAGGGCTGTCTTTCTTGAAAATTGGGTGCCATAGGTTAGATTCAGATGATGTATTTCTACTCCTATAAGGTAGAAATACGTGAGAAATATTTCAAAGCAAGGCAAAGATCACTGGCATAAACCTTCGCTCCCCAACCCTAACCCTCATTACACATAATGAGTGTGTAATGAGACTCATGGCTGGGTTGGATTCCTTTTATAAATTAAGATTTGGAGTCTTTGGCTCATTTACGATTAATTAGCAAGATTCAATACTCCAAAAACAAAACACACACATGCTTAAAGGCAAAGAAGAGGACTAGAAACATAAATACCATCATTTCAAATGCTTTTTTCTTGTTTTTTTTTTTTTTGGACACTGTCTCCCTTTGTCACCCAGGCTTAGAGTGCAGTGGTGTAATCACGGCTCACTGCACCCTGGAGCTCCTAAACTCAAGTGATCAGACCACCTCAGCCTTCTGAGTAGCTGAAACTATAAGTATGCACCACCATGCCTGGCTAATTTTTGTTTTGTTTTGTTTTGTTTTGTTTTTTGAGACAGAGTCTCCCTTTGTGGCCACACTGGAGTGCAGTGGCTCGATCTCAGCTCACTGCAACCTCCACCTCCTGGGTTCAAGTGATTCTCCTGCCTCAGCCTCCTGAGCAGCTGGGACTACAGGCATGTGCCACCATGCCCAGCTAATTTTTGTATTTTTAGTAGAGATGGAGTTTCACCATGTTGGTCAGGATGGTCTCGATCTCTTGACCTCATGATCTGCCCGCCTCAGCTTCCCAAAGTGCTGGGACAAGAGGCGTGAGCCATGGCGCCTGGCCAATTTTTTTCAATTTTTTACTTTTGTAGAGACAGAGTCTCACTGTTGCCCAGGCTGGTCTCAAATTCCTGGCCTCAAGTGATCCTCCCATTCTGGTCTCCTAAAGTGCCACCTGTTTAAAATGTTAATCAATGATTATCTCTGGATGGTACAATTATGGGTAATTTGGAGATTCTTCTTTAAGGGCTTCTTAAGAACTGTGTTTTTTTCCCCCCGATCAGGCCTGCATTAATCCTATTCAAAGAAATGTAACAAGATGGGAGCAGGGTATAGTGGCTTGTGCCAATAATCCCAGGAAGTTCTTGAGAGGCTGAGGTGGAAGATCACTTTAGCCTAGGAGATTGAGACTGCAGTGAACTATTATCAAGCCACTGCACTCAACCATGAGCAACAGAACACAAACTTGTCTGTAAGAAAAAAAAATCACATAAAAAAAATATGACTGTACAACATTAAAAAAAAAAAAAAGCACCATAGGCTAGGCGCGGTGGCTCACGCCTGTAATCCCAGCACTTTGGGAGGCTGAGGTGAGCAGATCATGAGGTCGAGAGATTGAGACCATCCTGGCTAACATGGTGAAACCCCCGTCTCTACAAAAAATATAAAAATTAACTGGGCATGGTGGCATGCACCTGTGGTCCCAGCTACTCGGGAGGTTGAGGCAGAAGAATTGCTTAAACCCAGGAGACGGAGGTTGCAGTGAGCCGAGATTGCGCCACTGCACTCCAGCCTGGAGACAGAGTAAGACTCCATCTCAAAAAACAAAAAAAAAACCATAGTTACGGGGGAGCTAGTACATTGTTATCATGAAGGAAACTCTGAATGGATTGACCTGGCCTGTGTGAGGCCAAATCATTACCTCTGAAATATCTTAGTATGGTAATGCTGGCACCTTACATGGCCAAGGGGAATGAAGTTTGCAGAAGGACTAAAATTGCCAATCACTGACACTGAGATAGGAGAGATTATCCGACGTCACCTCAGTGGGCCCTCAAAATTAGAAGATGATCAGAAACATGTGAAGAGAGAAGTAGGGTCAGAGTGATGTGATTGAAAAAGGACTTGACCTGTCTTTGCAGGCTTTGATGATGGAAGAAGGGGTCACGAACCAAAGAATGTGGGCAGTGTACAGCAGCCAGCAAAGGCAAGGACATAGAATACCTCCTACAGGATGGGCACAGTAGCTCACATCTGTAATCCCAGCACTTTGGGAGACCGAGGCCAGCTAATTAATCACCTGAGGTCAGGAGTTTGAGACCAGCCTGGACAACATGGCGAAACTCCATCTCTATTAAAAATACAAAACTTAGCCAGGCGTAGTGGTGCACATCTGTAATCCCAGCTACTCAGGAGGCTGATGCAGGAGAATCGCATGAACCCAGAAGGTGGAGGTTGCAGTGAGCTGAGACCACGCCGCTGCACTCCAGCCTGAGCAAACTTCTGTCCAAAAAAAAAAGAAAAGGACCTGAGAGAGCTCTCACTTTCCTTCCTCCGTGGGAGGACAGTCTCCAGCCTGGCAGAGGGCCCGCATCGGAACTTGACTATGCTGGCGCCCTCTTCTTGGACTTCCAGAACTGTGAGCAACAAATGTTTGTCGTTTCGGCCACCAGTCTACAGTTCTTCATTAGAGTAGATAGAACAGACTAAGGAAAGGATAAATGAAGGAGTCTGTATGGTATAAAAATGTGCTCAATAAACGTGGCCAGGCTACTCTCTTCCCAAGGATTCATGAATAATCCTAAATAATAAATTAAAATGTCATGATGGATAAGGCATTTACAAAAGTCTTATTCAATGGAATTTCTAGGCAATTGAAGCATTTCTTTCATTTCCGGTTAATAACTATTAGCAGAATCAAATATCATGTCAGGTGCATGTTTCTTTCTTGTGGCTGTCACTGAACTTCCTTCTTTGTATGTAGCTGCAGAGTGTTTCATGAAATGAATGTGGCATAGCTACTTAACCACTTTCATCATCCTGAACAGTAATTGTGGTCAAGGTAACACAGTTTTTGATTCTAGACCAATGGGTCCAAATGTCTTTGGGGCATGTACACCCTTCTTAGTGCCATGAAATTATACAGTATCTCCTTAGGGAGTGGTGGTGGACCAATACACTAACACGATGATATACAGAATGCCCCTTGTAAAGTTTTGAGTGGAATAAAGGAAGGCCCTCAGGTTAAGGATGACAGTTCTAGACCATTTGAGGTTGTGGTTCATTTTGTGAACCTGCGAACACCCAGCCCAGTTCCTTCCTATGTACGTTGCTCCTGATGTACAGACATCCAGACTTAGCACATAACAGCAGCACTCACTGCACACTTACACTCCGGGGTGCTGGTCTGTGGGTTTTATGCACACTCACCCATTTCACCCTCCTCACAAGCCTATCTTCAGAAGGCTCAAAAAGCTAAGAGGCAGAAACAGGACTCAAATCTTGGTCACCTACATTTAATGTTTGGTCTTGTCTTATAAACACATATCATTTAATTTAAAAAAAAGAAAGGAGACTCACCTGAAAATTTAAGATGTTTAACGATTCGTCTTCCTCCTCGGGGATGCTTCTTCTGAAGGATGCTGGCCTAGGGGAAACAGAATTTCGGGAGGACAAGCAACATTAGCAAACACCTGGCATGCCTAATGAAACCAATGAGAAATACGAGGCCCCGAGATGCGGCTTCTGAGATTCCCGAAGAGCACGCTGAGGTTAATGAGATGATGAAGTGTGGAGCTGCCCCTGTCCCGGTCTCCCACACCAGGGACCTGTCCGTCTGAGGAATTCTACTCCTGAGGCCACCATCTCCTGTCACTCAGGCGGCCTGCATGGAGAGCATGTCTGGCTCTCAAAGTGTCACCTCATGGCTATTTCTCCCTTCTTGTTGGTGAAGTTCCCGGTGGGGCTCAGGTGCTCTCGTCTCTCGGCAGCCCTTGTTCTCAGGCAGGTAGCTCTTGGTTAGGGGGTGAAGGCAGGGGCTGCAACAGCAACGCTGGAGCTACAGGTCGCGCTGCCACACACTCCTGCGCCACCCAGAAGGCCCGATCACCCTCACCCAGTACAAGCCTGCACGGCTCAGCCTCACCACAGCACACGCTGTCCCGAGACACATCTGTGTCCCTCACGCCCACTAACGCCCCGCACGGCCATGCTGCCGGCCCCGCCACCCCACACCGTGCAAAGGCGCATCCGTGGGCCATGGAGACCCATCCCGGCTACCGCCCTCACAGAGCCCCCAGAGTTCACCTCGCAGAGTCCCGGGGACGCGCCAACGAAGTTTGCATCACCCCAAAGCCTCTGAAGCACCCCGGGGCCCCAGTTATGGGAAGAACCTGGCTGTGTTACCCAAAAAACAGATCTCCAGCAAGTGCGTCACCGTCAGAAGCCCGGTGCCCGTCTCTCTTGGAGCCACGCACGCCAGTCTCACCTGCGCGGACTGGCGAAGAGGCAATGGCTGCGTCACCAGTGCAGACGCGCACCCAGCACGGCCCCCATGGCTCCCAATGACGCTCGCGCACACTCGTGTCACAGTTAAGGGGACAGAGCCGCCGCGTCAGCTTCACACTCCCACGCAAGTGCGTCACACACTTGGTCCTGCCACCAACCCCCACGGTGGCCACTGCGCATGCGCAATCCGGACGCGGGCGGGGCCTTGCGCACCCAGATGCCAGAGCGCACAGGCAGCAGCACAGCCCGGCACGCATGTGCACAGAGCCCAACACGTATGTGCACGTACAGAGACCGCGACACATAGCGTGCTGAGATGCTGACGTGCATGTGTGGGCACGCACACCCTGACAGGCGTGTGCGTACGCACAGACCCCGACACGCATGTGTGCATGGGGCCCGACACGCAGAGGCAGGCACAACAGAGCCCGATACGTATGTGTGCGTGCACAGATGCTGACACACTGACACGTGTGCGCGTACCCCTCCCACCTTTTTCCTTCCTCTGCCTCTCCCGAAGCCGCAGACGCACCTGGTGGTCCCCCGATGGTATCCCTGGGTTCCTCCTGGGCAGCGAATGCCCAGCTCAGGCCCGACCAAGCTGGGGCCTTGGGAGAGGGTAAGCTTCAGGACGTAGGACCGCGTTCGGGGAAACCAGAGCCCCAAGCCCCATGTCCCAGCATGCAGCGCGGCGTACTACTGAATGGTCTCTGGGAAACGTAGTCCAGTTTGTTCCCAGGCAGGGGCCTCAGGGTTGTTCCCTGGCCAATGCCGACACAGGCAGCCACATGCTAAGCCCTTCCTGCCCCCGGCAGACATCCCTTCCTGGTCCCTGCAGACGCACCTTCCCGGGTGGAGAGGGGCTGTGTCACCCCATCTGGGACCTCCTCTGGTCTCTGAGTGGGGTGATGCCGAGGGAGCCATGACTGTTCTCAGAAGGGGGTCCTCTCCTAGCCCCTCTGGGGTGTCACCTGGATTTCTTTGCAGGCCGCAGGCTGCCCGGAGCTGCTATTCGGTGTTCCTTCCTTGCTGGACTGTAAACAATGTGCAGGCAGCAGTTATGCCCCATTAGTCACGCTCTCTTTCCAAGTAAGAATGTCACAGGGTCTATAGGATGTTGCAGGTACTTAACCACTGTCTCAGTTCGACTCAAAATTCCACGTTTTGGTATTTATGCCAAGGAAGTAGCTATAGCTGTACACAAATGTATGCTGAAGTATGTTCACAAAATACTTTTTTCCTATAAATGTTTTTCTCTTTTAATTAGATAGACTGTAGATTCATGTGTAGTTACAAGAAATAAAATGGAGAGATCGTGTGTACCTTTCACCTGGTTACCGCAGCTGGTGACCGCAGTATATAATACCACAACCAGAACATGAACACTGATGTAATCCACTGACATTACCCAGAATCCCCAGAGAATAATTTTTACAAAGGAAAATCTTGCAGTGGGAGATAAAGGAAAATGAGGTTAAATCATGGTGTGTTACACAATGACATAGAGTACATTTGCTAATAATACTGACTCATTAATTGAGAAAGAAGTTCTGATGAAACAGTAAGTGGAAAACATAGGTGAAAAAGATACATATAATTTGAACAGAGATGTTTTAGTGAAATTAACACAGGCTCTGTGGTCTGATTTGAGGCTGCTAAGCTGAGTTCTGATAGTTATTAACTTGAGAGTGTAGTAAAACTTCCCCACTGGTAAAACTGCAGGAAAAATAGAACAATGTATGACTGTCTTAATGGGATCATCTACATGAAACACAGAGTAATACAATAATTAAGATAAACTAGCTGTTATTATTAAAAACCAATAACGTCTCAATCCATTTTCATAAAAGTAACAAGTTTGCTATTTCCTTTTAGCTAGGGAGACAGAGACATGATATTACCTAAAAAATTTAGTTTAAAGAATCTTAGCCCGGCACAGTGGCTCACACCTGTAATTCCAGCACTTTGGGAGGCCGAGGTGGGTGGATCACTTGAGGTCTCGAGTTCAGACCACCCTGGCCTACATGGTGAAACCCCGTCTCCACTAAAGATACAAAAATAAGCTGGACATAGTGGTGGGCAGCTGGAATCCCAACTGCTCAGGAGGCCGAGTCAGTAGAATAGCTTGAACCTGGGAGGCAGAGGTTGCAGTGGGCCAAGATTGCACCACTTCACTCCAGCCTGGGTGACAGAGTAAAACTCCGTCTCAAAAAACAACAAACAAAAAAAGTGGACATTTTAAACTAGTGCTATCTCATTCTATTTCATATACCTTTGAAATGTTACGGTCAATATTTGTTACTTTCACATATAACCTTGGGGATGTTTCCAAAGTCCATATTTGTAGGTTACCCAGTGACTATTTTCAATATTCATCAATGATTAATTTTTCTAAGCGAGGAAACATGACTGTCATCCCTCCTCTCCCTACGTGAACACAGATATAATGTGACCCATGGTTGGGCTGGATTCCTTTTACAAACTATGATTTGGAGAATTTTGCCTCATTTACATGATTAACAGGATCCAGTGATCCAGAAACACATACATGCTTAGAAGTGGAGAGGAGGACAGTAAACATACATACTAAATGTTAACAGGAATTATCTTTGGATGGTATAAATATGGGTAATTATGGCCGGTTGCAGGGGCTCACGCCTGTAATCCCAAAGGTGGTCGGATGATCACTTGAGGCCAGGAGTTCGAGACCAGCCTTGGCCAACATGGCGAAACCCCAACTCTACTAAAATGACAAAAATTAGCTGAGCATGGTGGTGGGCACCTGTAATCCCAACTACTCAGGAGGCTGAGGCAGGAGATTGCTTGGAGCCGGGAGGTGGAGGTTATAGTGAGCTGAGATCGCACCACTGCATTCCAGCTTGGGTGACAAGAGCAAGATTCTGTCTAAATAAATAAATAAGGGTAATTTTTAATTTCTTCTTTGTGTGCTTCTTCTTCTTCTTCTTTTTTTTTTTTTTAGAGATGGGGTTTCACCATGTTGATCAGGCTGGTCTTGAACACCTAATCTTGTGATCCACCCGCCTCAGCCTCCCAAAGTGCTGGGATTACAGGCATGAGCCACCGTGCCCAGCCTCTTTGTGTGCTTCTTAGGGGATAAATTTTCTTTTTTGGTCACAGTCTTTCAATAATCCTATTATAAAATATATAATCTTAGGGAGTCCCAAATTTAAAAAAAATAGATAAACAAGGAAAAAGGACCATTGTTATAAGGGGGTAAGTACATTCTAGTTACTAAGGAAAATTTGATGGACAGCCCTGTGGTAGGCAGAATATATCCACATCCTACATCTGGAACCTGGGACTATATTAGGCAAGAGAAATAAGGTTGTAGATGGACTTAAATTGCTAACCAGCCATCCTTAAGATAGGGAGATTACCCTGAATTATCCAGGTGGGCCTGCTGCAATTACCAAGTTCCTTAAAAGTAGATGAGGGAGTTGTCGGGCACAGTGGCTCATGCCTGTAATCCCAGCAGTTTGAGAGGCCGAGGAGGGCCTATCACTCGAGGTCAGGAGTTCAAGACCAGCCTGGCCAACATGGTGAAACCCTGTCTCTACTAAAAATACAAAAATTAGCCAGCTTGGTGGCAGGTGACTGTAATCTCAGCTATTCAGGAGGCTGAGGCAGGAGAATCACTTGAACCTGGGAGGCGGAAATTGCTGTGAGCCAAGATCACACCATTGCACTCCAGCCTGAGGGATAAGAATGAGACTTTATCTCAAAAAAAAAAGGTAGATGAGGGAGTTCCGAAGAAGAGAAGGATGTGATGACAGAAACATGCATGGAATGAGGTGATACAAGAACAATTTGACTTGTCTTTTCTGGGTTTAAAGATGTAGGATAGAGCTGGGCACAGTGGCTCATGCCTGTAACCCCAGCATTTTGGGAGGCTGAGGCAGGCAGATCACTTGACATCAAGAGTTAGAGACCAGCCTGGCCAACACGGTGAAACCCCATCTCTACTAAAAATACAACAATTAGCCAGGCATGGTGGCAAGTGCCTGTAATCATAGCTACTCTGAAGGCTGAGGCAGGAGAATCTCTTGAACCTAGGAGACAGACATTGCAGTGAGCCAAGATGGCGCCATTGCGGTACAGCCTGGAGGACAGAGTGTGACTTCATCTCAAAAAACAAAACAAAACGAAAGCAGATGAGGGAGTTCGGAAGAGAAAGCTGTGATGACAGAAACAGGTATGGAATGAGGTGATACAGGAACAACTTGATTTGTCTTTTCCGGGTTTAAAGTTGTAGGATGGGGCCAGACACAGTGGGTCATGCCTGTAATCCCAACATTTTGGGAGGCTGAGGCAGGCGGATCACTTGAGGTCAAGAGTTCAAGACCAGCCTGGCCAACATGGTGAAACCTCATCTCTACTAAACAAATATAAAAATTAGCCAAGCATGGTGGCCCATGCCTGTAATCCCAGCTACTCAGGATGCTGAGGCAGGAGAATCGCTTGAATCTGGGAGGTGGAGGTTGCAGTGAGCTGAGACAGTGTCAATGCACTGCAGCCCGGGTGACAGAATGAGACTCCATGTCGAAACATAAAAGATGTAGGAGGGGGTCTTGAGCTAAGGAGTCTGGGCAGCCTCTAGAAGCTGGGAAAGGCCATGAAAGAGAACGCCTCCTAGAGCCTCAAAAAAGCAACGCAGTCTTCATATACTGGTTTTAGCCCAGTGAGACCCACTTCAGACTTCTGACTTTTAGGACTTAAGATGTCACCCCGATCTCGAATCACCTTTCACTGGGTCTCAGCAATACAGTCAGATCATGAGGTCAACAATGCAGCTAAGTCACCTGTGTAGACTGAATCAAGAGTGTGTAATGCAGACAGAAGAATGTTTGACACATTGTATATGTTATTTATCAAGTGTCTAATTAAAGTTAATTTTTAGATACTTTAAAATTTCCATGCATATTTTTGTTTATAACAATTAGTATTACTTAATATAATGCCATATGCATTTTTCCTGTCTAAGGACTATCTCAATGTATTTCTTGACTACTAAACAGTTGTCTTAGTCCATTTGGGCTTCTACAACAAAATATCTTAGACTGAGTAATTTATACACAATAGAAATGTATTGCTCACTGTTTTAGAGGCTGGGAGGTTCAAGGTGCCTGCAGATTTGGTGTCTGACGGGGTGTCCTCCTAATGGAGCCTTCTTCCTGTGTCCTGATGTGGTAGAAGGGATGGAAACTGTGTCCTCAAATGGCAGAATAGGCAAAAATGCACTCCCTTCAGACATTGTTTTTTTTTTTTTTTGAGATGGAGTTTCAACTTGGTGCCCAACCTGGAGTGCAATGGCGGGATCTCGGCTCACTGCCACCTCCCTCTCCCAGGTTCAAGCGATTCTCCTGCCTCAGCCTCCTGAGTAGTTGGGATTACAGGCATGCCACCATGCCTGGTTACTTTTTATATTTTTAGTAGAGATGGGGTTTCACCATGTTGGTCAGGCTAGTCTTGAACTCCTGATCTCAGGTGACCCACCTGCCTTGGCTTCCCAAAGTTCTGGGATTACAGACGTGAGCCCCCACCATGCCTGGCCAACAGGTTTCATGCTTATCACAATCCTAACTTCATAAAGCTCTAAGAGCCAGGAAGAGGCAAAGGCAGAAATGAAACCCTGATCCTCTAGATCAGGCTCAGGAAACTACGGCCCATAGGACAAACCTGGCCCACACCCTTTTCTGTATAGACAAAGAGCTAAGAATGGTTTCCACATTTTAAAGGGTGGTAAAAACAACAGAGAAGGAAGAGGCAGCATAACTTCCCACTCCTTAACTATAAGGTATATGTAGTGATGTCCTTCCTAAGTGCACAATACAGAGGGGAGAAAGAAATAACTTTACAGTGTAGAAAACTGGAAACACCAAGGGTGGTGGGGAGGGGATAAAACAACAACCAAAAACTGAGAAATGCTACCTCAGCTAGGTGATCGAGGTCAACTTCAACAGTCACTGGTTATGTTGATAGGATGTTCTCTTCCTATGATGTGAAAAAGTAGCATTTACCTCTGTGATCATCCTTTCCTGACTTCTCCTGACTCCATAACTCCAGTCTAATCAAGATAAAAAACACCAGAGCAGCTGGGCACGGTGGCTCACACCTGTAATCCCAGCACTTTGGGAGCCTAAGGCAGGTGGAGCATGAGGTCAGGAGTTCGAGCCCAGCCTGGTCAACACTGGGAAATCCCGTCTCTACTAAAAATACAAAAATTACCCAGGTGCGATGGTGCATGCCTGTAGTCCCAGCTACCTGGGAGTCTGCGGCAGGAGAATCACTTGAACCCGGAGGCAGAAGTTGCAGTGAGCCGAGATCGCACCATTGCACTCCAGCCAGGGTGACAGAGTGAGACTCTGTCTCAAAAAAAATAAAAGAAAGAAACACCAGAGTAATTCCAACACAGGGGCATCCTATGAACCATATGTAACCTCTCAAAATTGTCAATGTCATGAAAAACAAGGAAAGCTTGAGAAACTGTCATAGCCAAGAGGAGTCACAGTCTCGGGTCACTGCAACCTCTTCCTCCTGGGTTCAAGCGATTCTCCTGCCTTAGCCTCCTGAGTAGCTGGGATTACAGGTGCATGCCTTAATAGAGATGGGGTTTCACCGTGTTGGTCAGGCTGGTTTTGAACTCCTGACTTCGTGATCTGCCCACCTCAGCCTCCCAAAGTGCTGGGATTACAAGCATGAGCCACCACGCCTGGCCTTTGAACACTTTAAGTTCTGAGATACATGTGCAGAATGTGCCGGCTTGTTACATAGTTATACACATGCCGTGGTGGTCTGCTGCACCCATCAACCCGCCATTGACATTAGGTATTTCCCTTAATGGTACCCTTCCCCTAAATCCCCACTCTCCGACAGGCCCCGGTGTGTGATGCTCCCCTCCCTGTCCATGTGTTCTCAGTGTTCAACTCCCACTTAGGAGTGAGAACATGCGGTGTTTGGTTTTCCGTTGCTGTGTTAGTTTGCTGACAATGATGGTTTCCAGCTTCACCCACGTCCCTGCAAAGGACATGAACTCATCCTCTTTTATGCTGCCAGACAAGGGTTTTGTGGAAGCCTAGGGATTTATTTAGGAGTTTGTGAAACTATGGTGGAACCTAAGACCAGGAAGGTTGTTTTGAGAGGGCTGATCCGCACTCAGATGGCCGAACTAAGGATCACTGCCTCAGCTGCAGACTGAGAAACAGCCCCATTACCCTGTGGACTCACTACAGCACAGTTTGGCCTTGTTCCTCCTTGAAAGCCACCTGCAAAGAACTCCAGAAAAAGTCACACAATCTAGCATTTCAGTCTCTATTACAGACCTTGAAATTACCCAGCAACTCAGAACCACCTGCCTCAACTTTGGTCCCAGACCAGCTCTGCCTGCAAGAGTACCCAAAGGGAGCCATGCCTAACCAAGTCCCAGGAGCAGGCTCCCTCCACAGCCTCAGTCCCACAGCAAAGCCTGAAGTTGTCCTGTATCTAGGACCAAGCCCTCCTGTGGTTGCTCTCCTGGGGCAGCTTTGCCCACCATGGGACCTTCAGGGAGAAGGCCCATCTGAGTAACCATGACAGGCTTGTCAAAGTCAATATCCTTGCAGATCCTAAAATTTCCTTGAAGCAAAAACAAAACAAAACAAATTTCCTTGAATCTGTGTCCCAGTCCCAATCAGTTGCAGTCTGGGAGCAATTCTGTCTGTACGGAGAACTAGACAGTGGGGGGCCTGTTAGTTCCCCTGTAGGTTGACCTGCTGAACCTGGTCCCACTGTGGTACTTGAATCAGCAGTAGAAACTGGCTCTGGCCATTCTCAACTGTGCTGTGAAAGTAGGGTTTCCAGCCCAGGAATCTATCAAGAGACATACATGCCTAGCTGTTCCTCAGGGACAAGCCTGAATACTTTGGTCTATGCTGTGGACCATGAAGCAGCCATATAACTTGGTTCCAGTCTGTTTCAGCTGCAGAGTGTGGCAGTACTGCTTGCCCAGTGATCCAATGGGAGCCCACTTAGAGACACAAAGGAAGCCATGCCATTCTGCATATCTGGTAACAGATGCCACTTATGGACCCTGAAGTGGACCCTCATCCCAGCACCAGCCCTAGGACCACGTTTATGAACCCACTGGAGTCAACTCAGAAATGACAGAAAATTCATATTCCGGAGAGTCCTGGTAGCAAGGCTGTCAACCATGAAACCCACTGTGGACCCAGCTCCAATCTGACTCAGCTGCAGTCTGGGAAGCAACCCCATCGGCCTGGTACCTAGAGGGAGTAGGCATTAGCATGCTGATGTAGCCTGCAAGGACTGGAAGAGAAGTTTGCTACATCAATGTGCAGACACCAAATGCAAGGCTACACAGGAAACAAAGAATGAGGCCAACATGACACCACTGCGTCGTGGGCGTCTATGAAATAAAAACAGAACCGTCAAGAAGACGCAAACAGAAATCCTAGAGCTGATGAGTACAACGGCTCACGCAAAAATTCAAAAGAGCTTGAATAGCAGAGTCAATCACACAAAAGAAACAAGTAGTGAACTCGAAGACAGGTCATATGAAATTAGCCAATTAGAAGAACAAAAAGAAAAAAGGTCAAAAAGAGTGAAGAAACCATAGGGGACCTATGGAATACAATCAAATATATGAATATATGAATTATGGGAGTGAAAGAGTGAGAAGAGAGAGAGAGAAAGATGCAGAGAGATAAAGAAACACTGGGTAAAAATTTGCCAAATCTTGGCAGAGATTTGGACATCCAGTCCATGAAACTGAAAGGACTTCAAGGAAGATCAGCATAAGGAAAGAATATTCTGAGACACATTATCAGAAGTTGTCAAAGAGAGAATCTTGAAGGCAGCAATAGTAAGAGACTCGTTACAAATCAGAAAATTTCCATAAGGCTCTCAGACTTCTCAACAGAAACCTTTTTAGCCAAGAGGGAGTGGCATGATATATTCACAATGGTGAAAGAAGGTCAGTCGTGGTGGCTCAGGCTGAGGTAGTTGGGTCAGCGGAGGTTAGGAGTTTGAGATCAGCCTGGCCAACATGATGAAACCTCATCTCTGCTAAAAATACAAAAATTAGCTGGGTGTTGCGGTGTGCACCTGTAATCCGCAGTCTACTTGGGAGACTGAGGCAGCAGGATCACTTGAACCCAGGAGGAGGAGGTTGCAGTGAGCGGAGACCGTGCCATTGCACTCCAGCCTGGATGACAGAGTGAGACTCCATCTCAAAAAAAAAAAAAAAAAAAAAAAGAAGAAGAAGAAATGAAGGAGAGAGAGATATTCCAAGACAAAGTTGAGAGACTTCATTACCACATGATCCACATTACCAAAAATACTCAAGTTCTTCAAGTTGAAAGGAAAAAAACATCAAATAACACAAAATTGTAGGAGTCTAAAACTCATCAGGAATGGTAAATCCACAGTCATATTCACAACACTCTAATAAGGTAATGGTGGTATGTTAATCACCTTAAACTCTAGTAAGAAAGTTAAATTACAAAGTTTTCAAAGTCAAAATCAGTCTAAATCAGATAAGATGTTTTAATAGGTTCCATAACAGTTATAAAGAAAAAAATCCAGTAGATACATAAAAAATAAAGGCTCAAAACATACCACTACGAAAATGCAATAGATCATAGGGTATATCAACAAGAATTGGAAGGAAGGATTAAGAGACATATGAAACAGTAAGTAAGGAATTAGCAAAATGGCCAAGGTCAATCCTTATCTACCGATACTTAATTATTTCAAATGTAAATGGTAAAACCTCCAATCAGAAGACCAATAACCTCCAATAGTCAAAACCTCCAATAACCTCCAATTATTCAGTAGCTGAATAAATAAAAACACAAGATCCAACAGTATGACGCCTACAAGAGACTCACTTTAGCCTTAAGAATGCATGTAGACGAATGGGAGCGGTGGCTCACACCTATAATTCCAGCACTTTGGGAAGCCAAATTGGGAGGATCACTTGAGCCCAGATGTTTGAGACTAGCCTGGGCAACACAGGGAGACCCAGTCTCAAGAAAAAATAAAAAGAAAATTACCTGGGTGTGGTGACAAATGCCTGTGGTCTCGGCTACTCAGGAGGCTGAGGTGGGAGGATCACTTGAGTCCAGGAGGTCAAGAGGCTACAGTGGGCCCTGATCGTGCCACTGCACTCCAGCCTTGGCTACAGAGTGAGAGACCCTGTTTCAAAATATAAAACAAAAAAGAAAAACACACACATATACACAGACATAGACAAAAATAAGGGAATGGAAGAAGATATTCCCCACAAATGGAAACAAAAGAGAGCAGGGGTAACTATATAGTCAACCACTGAACAACATGGGTTTGAAGTACATGGGTCCATTTACAAATATCAAAAAGTTAGGTTATGTCATGAATGCATAATGTTAGATACAAGTCTATTTTTTCATCTGCTACCATAAAACATACACAAATTATACTTAAAATTTATCAAAACATAGGCACACAAACTGTACATGACACCATTCCTAGTAGACAGAAATGTAAACAAATGAAAGATGCAATATTAAATTGTAATTGCATAAAATTCACTGTAACAATTTCATAGTCACCTCGTGTTGCTATTGTAGTGAGCTCAAGTATTGTGAATATGTGCTTAAAACGCTGTGAGATGCTAGTCATCTCCCTGTGAGCAGTTCATCTTCCCAGTAAATTGTGTATTGCAGGAAAAAGTGATCTCTTCTAGTTCTTGTGTTATTTATTTATTTATTTATTTACTTTTATGAGACAGAGTCTTGCTCTGTCGCCCAGGCTGGAGTGCAGTGGTGTGATCTCAGCCCTCTGCAACCTCTGCCTCGCAGGTTGAAGCAACTCTCCTGCCTCAGCCACCCGAGTATTTGGGATTACAGGCGCACGCCACCACAGTCAGCTAATGTTGGTATTTTTAGTAGAGACAGGGTTTCACCAGGTTGGCCAGGTTGGTCTCGAACTCCTGACCTTGTAATCTGCCCACCTCAGCCTCCCAAAATGCTGGAATTACAGGTGTGAGCCACTGTGCCAGGCCTCTTGTGTATTGTAATTGCAATACTGTAAACCTTGAATAACACCATGGGACCCAGATGAAGCGCCACTAGTGATGCTGGAAGTGCTCCAAAGAAGCAAAAAATAGTTATGACATTATAAGAAAAACTTGAATCGCTTGATATGTGCTGTAGACTGACTGCAGCTGTGGTTGTGTGTCATTTTAGACAAATAACTCATGTTGCAAACGGACTATGTAAATGCATGGCATTGACAAACACAGCACTGTAACTGTATTTTCTTTCTTTCTTCTTCTTTGAGATGGAGTCTCACTCTGTCACCTTGGGTAGAGTGCAGTGGTACAATCTTGGCTCACTGCAACCTCCACCTACTGGATTCAAGCAATTCTGCTTCAGCCTCCCGAGCAGCTGGGATTACAGGTGCCTGCCACAATGCCCACCTGATTTTTGTATTTTTAGTAGAGACAGTGTTTTACTAGGCTGGTCTCGAACTCCTGACCTCAAGTGATCCAGCCACCTCAGCCTCCCAAAGCGCTGGGATTACAGGAGTGAGCCTCCATGCTCAGTGTATTTTCCTTATGATTTTCTTAGCAACATCGTTTTCTTTTCTCTAGCTCGCTTTATTGTACGAGTATTGCATATAATGCATATACCATTCAATGTATGTGTTCATTGACCTTATGTAATTAATAAGGCTTCCATTCAACAGTAGTCTATTAAATGTTTAGGGAGTCGAAAGTCATACGTGGAGTTTTGACTACATGGAGAGTTGTCACCCCAGCCCCCATGTTGTTCAACGGTCAATTGTACTTTTATCAGACAAAACAGAATTTAAAAGTATGAGCCAAAAAAAGTCATTACAGAATTATAAATGGATCGATTTATGAAGGAGATGTATCAGTCATAAACATGTATGTACCCAACATTGGATCATATCAATATACAAAGCACACAATAAGAGATCCGAAGGGTCAGACAGACTGCAATACAATAATAGAAGGGAACTTCAAATCCTACTTTCAACAAAGGAAAGCTTAATCAGCAGAAAATCAATAAGAAAACACTGGAATTAAATTTTACTTTAGACCAAGTGGACCTATCAGACGTATACAGAGCATCCCATCCAATAATAGCAGAATACATATTCTTCTCAAGCATACATAAAACATTCTCCAGGACAGATAAACATATTTGGCCAAAGAACAAGTCTTAAGAAATGTAAGGCAACTGAAATCCTATCAAGCACCTTTTTCAACCACAGTGGTATCAAGCTAGAAATCAACAACAGGAGGAAGTCAGGTGAATTCACAAATATATGAAAATTAAACAACGTGAAACTAAGTAACCAATAGGTCAAGGAAGAAATTAGAAGTTTAATTAAAAAATATTTTGAGGCTGGGTGCGGTGGCTCACGCCTGTAATCCCAGCACTTTGGGAGGATGAGGTGGATGGATCATGAGGTCAAGAGATTGAGACCATCCTGGTCAACATGGTGAAACCCCGTCTCTACTAAAAATACAAAAAATTAGCTGGGCATGGTGGCGTGCGCCTGTAGGCCCAGCTACTCAGGAGGCCGAGGCAGGAGAATTGCCTGAACCCAGGAGGCAGAGGTTGCAGTGAGCCGAGATCGCGCCATTGCACTCCAGCCTGAGTAACAAGAGCGAAACTCCATCTCAAAAAAAAAAAAAAAAAAGAAAAATATACTTTGAAATAAATGTAAAAGGAAACAATAACCAAATCTTAAGGAATGCAGGGAAAGCAGTTCTAGGAGGGAGGTTTATAGGAATAAACACTTTCATCAAGAAAGGAGAAAGATCTCAAACATTACTTCTCAAGGAACTCGAACAAGAACAAATGAACCTCAGTTAATGAAAGGAAATAATAAAGATCAGAGTAAAAATAGAGACCAGAGAAACAATATGGGAAGATTAACAAAACTAAGAGTTGACTTTTTGAAAAGATAAACAAGATTGAAAAACCACAAGACTAACAAAGACAGGAGAAGGGAGGGCTGAAAAAAAAAAAGAACAAAAGGCAAAAAGAGGAAAGACTCAAAAATCAATGAAGTCAGAAATGAAAATGGAGACATTACAACTCATGCCACAGAAATACAAAGGATCACGAGAGACTATAATGAACAATTAGATGCCAAAAAAATTAGATAACCCAGAAGATTAATTCCTAGAAACACACAACCTCCCAAGACTGAATCATGAAGAAACAGAAAAATCCAATCACTAATGAGTAAAAAGACAGAATAAAGAATGCAAAATCTCTGATCAAAGAACGGCCCAGGACTTGACGACAGCTTCATTGCTGTATTCTACCAAATATTCACAAAATACCAAATAAGTTTTGAAACTCTTTCAAAAACTTATAGAGGAAGGAATACTTCCACGTTACTGCAGTATCACTCACAATACCCAAGTGTCAACCAGTAGAGGAATGGATAAAGAAAATGTGGTATGTATCACAATGAAATACTACTCAGCCTTAAAAAACAAGAAAATCCAGTCATTTGTGATAACATGGGTGAACCAAGAGGATATTACATTAAGTGAAATAAGCCAGGCATAGAAAGGCAAACTTACATTATCTCAACTATTTGTGGAGTGTCAAAAAGCTGAAGTAGGGCCTGGCGCGGTGGCTCCCGCCTATAATCCCAGCACTCTGGGAGGCCGAGGGAGGTGGATCACGAGGTCAAGAGATTGAGACCATTCTGGTCAAAAAAGGTGAAACACCGTCACTACTAAAAATACAAAAATTAGCTGGGCATGGTGGCACATGTCTGCAGTCCCAGCTACTCAGGAGGCTGAGGCAGGAGAATTGCTTGAACCCAGAAGGCAGAGGTTGCGGTGAGCCGAGATCGTGCCATTGCACTCCAGCCTGGGTAACAAGAGTGAAACTCTGTCTCACAAAAAAAAAAAAAAAAGCTGAAGTAATAGAAGCACAGAGTGGAATGCTGGTTACCAGAGGCTGGGACAGGAGTGGGAACAGGGACATGAATGGCTATAAAGGTTTAGTTCGACTGGAAGAATAAAATTCTCTATATCTATTTTACAACCTGGTGACTACAATGAATAACAATGTATGTTTGAAAATTGCTGAGAGAGTATATGTTAAATGTTCTGATCACAAAAATAATAGCTAGTAAGGTGAAGGATATGTTATTTCATTTCATCACTCCACAAGGCATACATGAATCAAAACATAACCTTGTACATAAGCACATAATTTATCTTTCAAATAAAAATAAAAAATAAAGGATGTCATTTTAATAAATAAAACCAACGATCCAAATAAATAAATAAATAAAAAGAAGAAAAATACAGAACTATGTGTAGCCCATAAATCACAGTATTTACTGAACCTTTAAACGGAAAAAATTTGCCAACATCTGTCTTAGATCCAGAACTTCATTCAAAATCAAACCACATTGCTTCTCAGTGCACACATAGCAAGCGGAAAAACAAACCGCAAAGCCGTCAGCTTCAAAGAGAAAGTAGTAAACAGAACAGACTGCAATGTATTGATTACTTGGAAAACATTTACACCTTTGGTGACACAGAAGCTTGCTCAAACTCCTCTTGAAAGCCTCACAAAGCTGACAACCTTGTCACGTCGTCAAGCCATATACTTTCTTGCTGTGATATGAAAATCAGGCCTAGAGAAAAGATAAAGACAGGTGGTGTGGGGTTCCACTTAAAAACGAATCCTTTCCTCACCAAACCACACTCTAATATAAAGCACTAACGTTAAGCTCCAGGAGGTATTTTTCTTTTTTGAGACGGAATTTTGCTCTTGTTGCCCAGGCTGGAGTGCAATGGTGCGATCTCGGTTCACCGCAACCTCTGTCTCCTGGTTTCAAGTGATTCTCCTGCCTCAGCTTCCTGAGTAGCTGGGATTACAGGCATGCACCACCATACCTGGCTAATTTTGTATTTTTAGTAGAGACAGGGTTTCTCCATGTTGGTCAGGCTGGTCTTCAGCTCCTGACCTCAGGTGATCCGTCTACCTCGGCCTCCCAAAGTGCTGGGATTACAGCTGTGAGCTATCATGCCCAGCCTCCAGGAGGTATTTTTCTTTACCATCAGATTCTTAGAAGAGCAGAGCACACAGAAAGAGCTACCCAATTTGCCAAACGGGTACATGAATGACTTTCAGGAGAAGTGGATT